TTAAATTCGAGTCAACAGGTTAGACATAATCTAACGTACCTCGCGCGAAACCTCTCCGACGTTTGATTCGTGACGAGAAAGTGTTTGCTCTTCTTGATCCAGAGCACGTCCTTGCGCGTGATATCGTTAAATCGCTTGCACACCTCGCTGAGCCGCAACAGATCGAATTCATTGCAAAATTCGAAGATCATCAGCAACACGTCGACCGGCAGCCCATCCAACTGCCAAGTATTGGTCATCTTCTCAGCTATTAAAGCGTACCCTCAGGGTGCCTTTTGTTTTTTTATAAATTCTCCCTTTATGGGAACCATTGACCTACTGGTCTTATAGCGTATTCTGCCCTCTTAACTATTATTTGTTACTCTTCTACTATGTTCCCTGTACTCTTATCTTCTCTTTACTCTGTGCGACTAGCAGCAGCGATGGGAGGTTAGATGGGAGGCAAGAATTCGTCTGCAACAGGAGACTTCGTGCACATGCGTGAGGTGACGTAGCAGCTCGAATCCAATTGGTGGATGTAGGTGCCACGTTAGGCTGCGTTCAGATTCCCCACCGGATAGGTGATCGATGGCCGCGTTCAGCAGGCACAACTGTCGAGTGAGCGCTCAATATGATTGGTTAATACTTTTAAGCCTTGCGTCCACGTTCAAAGAACTGTGTCCAAGTTCTACTTCCAAGAAATGCGTAGCCAATCAACTTGCAGCTTTTCCATAAAAGATACAGGTTGATTGGTTGCACATTTCTTGGAACTAGAATCTTTAGGCTTTAGATCCAGCCAATCATATTAAGAAATCATTGAGCGCTCACTCAACAGTTGTGCCTGTTGAACGCAGTCATTGACTAAATTCATTTATTAGTTATTTACTATTTGACACGGACTTGTAGGTTTATTAACCAAAAGTTGAAACTCGGGTAGGTAGGAAAATGGATAGGACTGTATAGAGGAATACGGGTAGGTAGATAGGGATTCGGGTAGGCAGGGACAAGGGGACGTGACTCGATAATTAAAAAGATAGATAAAATTATAACTGCAATGTATGAAATAAATTGTAAAAAATCACATTGTAAAGAAAAGAGGACCACCGATCGAAATCGGCGGGGGTGGTGAAGGGCCTCTGTGGAGATCGATTTGTTTTCAACAAATAAAATTTTAATTCAGTTGAATTCACATATATTTTTTTACTTGATAGATTTTCGTTTGCAATTGATCGGTAGATTTGCCTTTACAATTTAATTTTTCGTTTGCACATTAATAAGAAATGTTACACAGAGGCACAGCCACATGTGTAGCATTGTGTAACATTTTCTATTAATGTTTTACATCGTTTCGATATCAATCGATAAGTAATTTTTTCGCTGGATTAAAAGATATGAAATTAAAAAGTTATCATTTTTACTATTATTTACAACGAAAAATATGTAATATATAAAACGTGCATTATTCTGCTACAGTACAGTGTCTCTGTGCATCGTCAGGTGTTTTCCATTCGACATGTTTTCGTGCGTCTGCAATAAAAGAGAAATTCAATTAATTTTTCGCATTGAAAAACTCCGCCAGATTCTGGCAATTAAAATTACTCGATCCCTCACCTGGCGTTTTATGTTTTAAGTATAACGTGTGAAGAATAAGATACATGAATGCAGAAAATGCTGCGAGTCCCGAAAATATTCTTAAAGTCGTTGCACCGCCAACTTTCTTGTACAAAATACCTCCGATTAAACTACCAACCGCATAACCTGAAGACATTGCAATATTTCAATGATGATGAACTTTGATAAATTGGGAAAAATACATTTTTATATTAGTACAAGTGCACGTACACGGGGCGAAAGAATTTTCTTTTAAAATTTACCCTGAAAATTAAGTTTCGAAATTTACCTAATCCGTCGTCCATCCCCGCCACAATTCCTTGAACGGTAGCCGAGGTACCGGGTGGCGATACTGCGCTCGCGTACGCTACTATTGTTGTGTAACAAAGCGCATACGTTGGTCCCTGCATGATAAATTCCACCGGAAACACCCACCATGGCGTTGGAGCGAGAGATATTAATCCCAATCGCAGCGCGTAGCATACAAAACAAAATGTAAAAGTGTAACCGTATCCAAATTTCTTCAGTATTTTACCTGAAAACAGGAAATATTATGTTAGACAACAACAAAGTATCTTTAATTCTTTAATCTTTAATTATGCAAACACCCAAAACGTCACAAACTATGACAGTGAAATAATTTACCGGACAGAGAGAAGAATATTATCTCGCCACCGAGAGTCTGCGCGGCTACGATTAAACCTTCTATCAATTTAATTTCGCCCATATAACCGGTCGCCATAGCAAGATCTTCCAAATACCTAATACAATAAACTGCATTGGATATAATTCGACTTAACTAAATTTCGAAATTGTATCGAATGGCAGTGAACGAAAATACATTTTAATAGAGACAAAGATTTACCAGAATAAGAAGTAAATCATAAAGCTATCGAGTATACCCGCTAGGGTGGCAAAACATAGAAATATAACGATAGGTTTCAATTTCAAAAGCATGCACACGTCTTTCAATATGCTTGACGATCCTGACATGAGCGGCAGCTGTAATGAAAATATATAAAACAAGATAAAAATCCAAAGAAGAGAACAAGCTAACGCACTACTGTTCACTCATTGTCATTTCTCTCTTTTTAATGTAGTTACCTCTAATTTTCCGCAACAAATCAAATCGATACAAGTAAATGCGAGCACAAGGAAAAACGCCGGTGTGTAAGTCTTGTAGATTTCCCCTTGCGACCACAGGTCCACTGTGTATCCGGCTAGAAATGCTGCCACGCCGAAACCGATTGTGCCCCATACTCTCTGCCTACCGTACCCCATTTGTCCACCTTCGCCTGAAAAGATACGAAGTTTGTTAAGGGAGACAGTTTTTTTTTACTTGAATTAATATATCGTTAAACTGTTTGTATTATAAAAATTTGAGTACGTACAGGCATTTAAATACTTTATGTAATATTAAAATATATTCCTACAGTTCACTTACCTAATACGTCGAAGCAAATTGCGTCGCTTATGCAATTAGAAACGTTAAAACCGATATTACCAAGAGACATCAAGAGCACGAATCCCCAGAAGGTAATGGATGTATAGAGACAATAATTGTCCTCGAAATTATTGCAAGTAACGTTACAATTATAATTCGTTGCATTTCCTTGGCACAATGACGTCTCATTGATATTTAATAAGCATGTGGTATCCGGTGAAATTGCCGCTTTCTTTTTAATTCCATGAAAAGATAATCTCGTGGAAAAATTCGCATCTTTGCATACCCAGTGACATGTAGTGTCTTTTGTACCGTTACACGATGCCATTGCGGTCGCGTGCTTAAAGGAAAAATATAAAACTTTGAAAATCTATTTAGTTTATTAAGTTTATTAAGAGCATTGATGTTTGATATACAAATATTTTTAAGATTAAGTATTTAGAAACTGCTAAAATTTTTTAAAATTTGATTTATAGAATATGCAAAGTATGTCCTAGATGTATAAAAGTAAATTGATAAATTCTCATGAAAGTCAGCTAATCGTTATAGAAATTCTATTGTCGGAAAGATGCGCAATTGTAAGAAAATAAAAAAAATTACATTGTCCATATCACAAGGCGGTAAAGACCGGCAGGAAACATTTGGAAATGGATGATCTGGTAGCAGTGGACCGGGCAGAGCCGGTAAAAAATACATGAAAATATAGCAGCCACTGGTTACGGCAAGCAGCGCTATAAATATCAATTTTCTCCAGGCGCGGTAATAGTCCACGACGAAACCGAATGCTGGTTTCGCGATCAGGAATAAAATGGGCAAAATCGCGGTGATACTACCCATAACTAATGGCGAAACACCGAGTTGCTTGCCGTAAACTGGCAGAAACGGCAAAATAGGACCCATGGCTAAAATAAAAATGATAATTGTAGCTATACCTAATAATATTATTTATTAACTTATAGACATCTTAGTTTGTAACAGTCTTTTTGTACACGGAGAGAATTTAAAAGAAACTTCTCTCCCCGTGTAGTCGTCTTTATATACAACTATAATATTTTTTTTATACAAGAAGGCACATTGATTATAGAGTTTCATTAACATTAAATGTGCCAAAGTATATTTTTATCATTCTTTAACGTTACAAATGTCATATTTTTATGTCGACGCATTCTCGACGAATTGGATCGCGTAAAAGAGCGACACGATTATCTCAATAAAATCAAGGAAATTAGAAGAATTCTTAAGAAACTTAAACGACTCTTTGCAATGTGAGATATTTAATATTTAATTTTACGATATACTCACCCGCCATAAAAAAGAAGTAATGCGCCTTTACAGGCAGTTGCGTGTGATTAATTTTCATGATTTATGCCGGAGCGTAGATAATGATAAGCCCAACTAATCTCGTCTCTCGCTTCTTCGGCGTTTTCTCGCGCTAAATTGGCGCCATGCTGCAAACTTATAGCGTCAGACTAAACGATCAACGTGCTCGGGAATAATAACAGCCCGGGGAAAGCGTTTTACAGGCACATTACGCGAACAGAATACGAAACGCAAACGTTATGCCCGACGGAGAGCCTCGTCGGCGCGACGCGCGCGTTTGAATTCAAATCCCCGCGACTCGCGGTATATCGCGAGTAGATACTACTTTTAAAAAAAAACAACTTTAAACGATTCCACAATGGCGTCGCGCGATGTCGCGGTCATCGTGTGCGCGTCTTGTCAAGGATCGATGCACTTGGTTTCAGGCAAGTTATCGCGGCAGGTTTCTTTGGGAAAGGGTTCCCCGCGGGTTTCCAGGTCGTTGACCGAGTTACTTCGCGGGTCCGCTTTATTATTCGCCCGCGGGCGGGAGGAGAGCCGTCGACGAACTCACCGCGTTCGGGCCGGCCGCACGTTGAGCATCGCACACCGACGACCTTTTATTCGCAGAGCGAGCCGCTTAATCGCTCGATAGGCCACATACCGCCAGCGATACGATCTCGACGTCGGAGCGGGACGGGAAACACGAGTAGATACAAGTACGTGCGACCGAATAGACGTGTCAGTTTCGAATGCGCCTCTTGCACCTTCTGCACTCGCGAGAGTAGCATAACAAGCCTTTGTACCTTGAACCTCGGCGGAACGAGGCGGCAATGCATGACGCTAGGAAAAAGTAGCGAGCACAACTAAAAAGCTGCAGACGTAAACCGCATTTCGGTTTTCGGCCGTCCCAAAATCGTCGGCGGATTTCGGCAGCGCTAGAAATCTCGGAACGTACCTGCTAGTATATGTATTAGTAGTTAATGTGTATATACATATAATACAGAGCCGAAATGAGGAGGCTGCGTACGTAGTCGAGGGCTCCGAACGTAAATGCTTCAGCGTTCGCCTGATGAGCGCCGTCCCTTATCAGCGAAAGCGTCGGGTCTAGTTGCACTCCTCATGCGACGCACCAGACTTTTACTACGATCGCGTCGATTGGCCTTGACAGAATGAGCGCGACAATTTCGACGATGACGCGCCGTCGTACAATGAGATGATCTCTTAAAACCGATCTCGGGTCCGGATGGCCGTCGAACGTACTGCATCGTCGCGCGAAACGTTGCCCGTCGTTATTTCGATAAACGACGCGCACGTGAATCTAATAAATCGTTCAACGGCGCGCGCTGTACTCTTGGCCACTCAGACAAGATTTATCGCGAGGAAGATTGATAAGGCTGCGAATATCTCGCGGCTTGTTTATACCAATTCGATTGTGCGAGTGCTACGGCGGCGTATCGTAATCGCGGCGAGATTACATCAATAACGACGTGATATACTATCGCGAAAAATCAAATTATAACAAAATCAATTCCAAATTGCTCGGTGAATCTGCGATCGCGAAAGAGCAATATGATAACGCCCTGTATTTGCAGCCTGAGATAAGAGTGTGATAACGACACGACATTACTTAGAAATTGCGAGCTACTTCCGCTAGTTTAGCTTACAGTGCTATGTTTGTCGTGAAATTACGAATTCTGCAGATCAAGCGCAATAATCGTTGCATAATGCATTGTTTATCAATCTCTGGATAAAAAATGCACATTTGAATAGAATCGCATATTCAACGTATTGTAATTAGCCGTTAAGTGAAGCTTATCAAATACGAAGATAAAGCTATAAATCATAAATCTCTAGTGGTTCGTTTGCACAGTCGGTTTAATGTTCACGGTTCTGTCTACGAAATGATCAAATAAAAATGAGATAAAAGTTATCAAGTAATTGTATCAAGTTATAAAATCATCATTATCAAATGTATATAAATGGAAATACTACTTATACAAACTATACAAATAACTTATACAACGTACTATATACAAACGGAATCTAAATGGGAAATACTACTTTGAAAAATGATAAGAGAATGAAATGCGGCAACAATTTGAAACTACTTAAGTTCGTCGGGAGTAAGAAATAACATTTTTCTCCATAATTAAAGAACTTAAAGGACTAATTGCAATAAAAAATTGACAATTTTAGATATAAATTTTTCTTTTAATTAGACTTCCATATTTTATTTTCTAAACTCATTGCGTTTTAAGTATGGCAATGTTCTACTATGCGACTCACACTCCATCTTGACAATATTTTGTGCATGAAAGCTAATAAAAAGATTCTCATACACAAAAAGTACACACGGTAAATATCTAGTTTCTCATCTCAATAAATAAACGTGTTAACGAGGGCATACATATTTTTTTCTTATTATTTACAAGACAAATTAGAAAGATTTATATCAAGTATCTGCTGTAACACAGTGCTTCTTTGCATCGTCCGGTTTTCTCCACTTAATATTACTTCGTGTGTCTATAACAAAAACATTGCTTTCTACCATTCTATCATACATTAGAGAGGTACGTTGTATGTTGAGATGTTAAATGATTTAATTTCTTACCTATTGTTTTATGTTTTAAATACAAAGTGTAAAGAATAAAATATATTAATGCTGCAAGTGCTGCAAGTACTGAAAATATTCTTAGAGTTATTATACCGCCAAATGTTTTATATAGGAAGCCCCCTCCCAAACTGCCAACTAATAATCCTAAAAATATTATAACATTATAGAACGACACAACAATGTGAGTAATAAGATATACAGATACACATACTCCTTTCATTAATATTCTTTTATATATGTAGACTTTTTCAATAGCGTAATTTTTTATAAATGCAACCGCGTAAAATCTTACCGAAACCATCCTGTAAACCGAAAACCAGCCCTTGAACAGTAGCTGCAGCACCAGATGGTGTTGCTTCGTTTGCGTAAAGTGCTATTATTACAAAAGAGAGCGCATATGTCGGCCCCTGTAAAAATTCTATCCCAAGTACCCACCAAGGCGTCGGCGCTAAAGTTATTAATCCCAGCCGAAGTGCATAGCATATCAAAGAAAATGTAATAGTATAATCATATCCAAACTTTTGCAACATTTTGCCTGAATAAAGAATATCAACGTTATATTTATTAAAAATGGTATAATTTCTGTAAAAATCGTATAAGTGTGAAATTATAATAAAGACATAGATAATTAATATATTACCAGATATAAAGAAAAATAGTATTTCGCCACCGAAAGTCCGCACTGCTATAATTAAACCTTCTATCAATTTAATATTGCCCATGTAACCAGTTTTAATAGCGAGATCTTCAAGGTACCTATAAAATCAAGCTACATTAAATTGGTACAAGCGAAACCAGAATATAACTAATAAAGATAAAAAAGTACCAAAATACAAAGTTACGCAAAATGCTATTAAGGGTACCAACAAATGTAACGAAACACAAAAATACAATGATAGATTTTGATTTCAGGAGAGTAAATACATCCTTCAGTATGGTTGTCGACGTTGATTCAAATGGCAACTGGAACATTATAAATGTACGATCACATATGGCCATAAGAAAAACCATATTTTATCGGTTTGGTTCTTTTTATAATTTGCATAAAACGCATTTACCTTTAATCTTATACAACAGATTATATCGATACTAGCAAATATAATCATTAAAAATAACGACGGTGTGTACATTTTGTAGACTTCCTCTTGTGACCACAAATCTATCATATATCCAGTTAAACATGCTGTAATACCGAAACCGATTGTACCCCAAAGTCGCAATTTACCGAATTTTAACCGTTTACCTTCTCCTGCAATGGTAAACATTGTTAATAATAGTATGTATTTCTTTTTTATAATATTAAAAACTATAAAATTACTTATAGTGAAGATTCAATTTGTATAGAAATTTTTACTTTAATGCCATTTTTTGCTCTAAAATTTATGTTTGTAAAATCACGTACCTAATATGCCGAGACAAATCGTAGTGGTTAAACTAATGAAAACATAAATTGCACATTCTCCTAAACACATCAACACGGCAAAACTCCAAAATGTGAAAGATTTATATAGACATTGATCGTCGTTGAAATCGTCACAAGAAACATTACAATTATAATTTGTTACATTTCCTTGACACATTGATGTCTGATTGATATTTAATAAGCACGTAGTGTCTGGTGAGATAATCACTTTCTTTTGGTCCCCATGAAAAGACAATTGCATAGAAAAATTATGATCCTTACATGTCCAATGACACGTTGCGTCTTTTGTACCATTACACGATCGAATTGCCGATGCATGCTTAAACACAGATAAAGATAGATCAAGATATGTAGCATGTTGTAGAAACTTTTGACATTTTAGAAATTTTAAAAATTGTTGAATAATCTAAAATAGTATATTATAGTATAAATGTTCACATTTAATATAAAGCTGTGTGAATTGTTTCACTTAATTGTATAAACATTTTATTAAATGTATGAAAAATATATACATTTGTTGAGAAATATAAACTTACATAATTTATATTACAATGTGGCAAAGTTACACAAGTTATGTTTTGAAAATGATACTTTAATGGCATTACACCCGGTAGTGGGGGTAATAATACTATCATTATGAAACAAGTATGTGCTATGATATACAACGACAGATAAATTATTTTTCTCCATGCTTCAAAATAATCCATGATAAAACCGAATATTGGTTTCGCTGTTAGATACAGTATAGGCAAAATGGCAGCGATGCTACCAATAATTAACGGTGAAATACCGATCTGTTTTCCGTAAACTGACAGAAATGGCAAAATAGGACCTACACCTAAAATTAGAAAAATCATTATAAATCTATTATCGATGTATTAATTTATTAAATTATAATTTTCTATTATATTACACGAAAAACGAATTGGGGGTCCGCCTTTGGTCACTCTACTCTATGTAATAAGATATATGTATATATATAAGATATACATATATGTATAATGTGTACTATGATATATTAAAGATATTCTAAATACTTACTTCCCACGTAAAAGAAATAATGCACCTTCACAAGCAGATGAGCGTAGTTGATCTTCATTATTTATATCAGAATACGAATTTCAAACTGATATAATTAATAAATTTTATATTTTACTATATTACTTTTTCCCGCAAGTACGTACGTTGACGAAACAGTCTGAACTGCAAGTTGTCAAAACGAGATAGAGTGAAGTATTAACTCCTAAGCGTGTCCAGGACAATTTTTTCTTGTGCGTACATACAATTATATATAATTGGCGTTTTGAGATAGTACGTACAACTAGAAAATATTACTTTGAAATGTGGTAAGAGAATGAAACGCAGGAAAAGTGTGAACCTATACACCGTGTTCCAGTTTAACTTGGACAGTAAAATATCTCAAAAACTAAGCCCAGCAAACAAAAATGTTTCAGACAAAAATTGTTTTGGTTTCGAAGGGGACATAAGACGGTGTCATTAATTTGACCATGAATATAGTTGCTTGAGTGGTTACGCGAAGGTCACTTTCAACTTCTTAATGGAACTCCCCTAAAAATGTAACTAGTTACAGTTACAAGTTACTAATTCTGAAAAGTAACGCCTTACAGTTACAGTTACAGTTACTCAAAAAGTAACGAATCGTAACTTTCTTGCAATGAAAATAAAAATATTAAATCTGCAGTTGAATTATAATATAAAGGGTCGATAAAGCGCGGGTAGCACAAAGTATTGGCGTAATATTGGGAAATAATATAAATGTAATACCGTGCAATTATTGATACGTAACATTGGCGTTACATTAGCATTTATTCTATATTCAATATTACAATTTTATTGGGCAATCTTGGCCAGTACAATCAATCCAATATTAAATAATCATCTAGGTACAATATCAGTAGTATATTTGCATCTATTCTATGACCAATATTGGTGTTATATTGGTAAAATATTGGCCAATGCACCGCCAACATAATCAATGTTTAACCAATGTTAGCCAACGTCCCAGGTAGAAC